ACGCAGCAATATACTTTTTATTCAAATAGACATTTATCATGGTCCAGAATAGATATGATTTGGACCTCATCAGAACTAATATCTAACATTCAAGAAATAAATATAGAAACGGGTATATGGGTAGACCATAACCCTATGACAATTAAATGGAAAGGACAAAGAAGAAGATCTAGATGGACATTAAATAACGCTATCTTAAAGGAAAAAGACTTTACACAATGGATGGACAAAGAATTGGCCTTCTTTTTCATTAAAAATAAAAAAGAAGATACTTCAATGCAGAATGTTTGGGATACAATGAAGGCATATGCGAGAGGATTAATAATGGACTATACAAAGAAAAAAAAATATTAGGAAGAGGCAAACTATTAAAGCTTTAGAAGATGATTATAAAAAACTGGAAAAAGAATTGCAGAATATGCCACAGAAAAAAGATATTAAATTCAAAATGGATATAATTAAACATAAGATGGGTCAGGCGGAGAAAGAGGAGTTGGCACAAAAAATTAGAAGTGCTAAACAGAACTATTTTGAAGATGCAAATAAACCAGGTAGGTGGCTAGCATACAAATTGAGAAAGGAGAAAGAATCTAGGAGAATAGTACAGTTAATAGATGATAAAGATCAAATTTGTTATGGTAACAAGGAGAAAAAGATAATTATCCAAGACTTTTATGGACAATTATATAAACAGGAGGATTTTGATGAGGAAAGAATTAAGCTTTATCTACAAAATGCTAACCTACCCAAGATACCTGAAGAGACTGAAAAAATGTTAGAAAGTACCATAACAATGATGGAACTAACGGAAGCACTTAATAGGCAGAATAATGGAAAAGCACCAGGCCCAGATGGGCTCCCGGCAGAATTTTATAAAACATTACAAGAATCGTTGAGCATTCCATTGTTAGAAGTTATGAATGAAGCCATGTTAAATAAGAAAATACCTAAAACGTGGTCAGAAGCTTATATCACACTTATTCCAAAAGAAGGGGCTGATCCATCACAAATTAAGAACTATAGACCTATTTCTTTACTGAATGCAGATTACAAAAACTTTGCTTCCATCTTGGCAGAAAGGCTCAAAAGATATCTAAATAACTTTATTCATCCTGACCAGAATGGATTCCTGCCAAGGAGACAAATTAGGGATAATATGAGGGTAATTCTGGACACTTTGGAATATTACGAGGCACACCCTGAAAAACAAATGGCTTTGGTATTTTTAGATGCCCAAAAAGCATTTGATAATGTGAATTGGAGATTCATGTTTTTGTTATTGGAACAGATGGGTTTTGCTAGAAAATTTATTCAAGCAATAGAAGCCATATATGACAAACAAACGGCGAGAGTGATGATAGAGGGAGATTTTACAGACTCTATTAATATAAGAAAAGGCACAAGACAAGGGTGCCCATTATCACCTTTGTTATTTGTATTGACTTTGGAAGTGCTGAATAGAAACATTAGAGAGGATCCAAATATAAAAGGAATGAAAATTAAGAAGGAGGAATTTAAATTGCAAGCCTTTGCGGATGATTTGGTTTTTATTTTGGAAGATCCTCTAGGAACAGCCTTAAAGCTACTGGAAAAGATAGAGATTTATGGTGAGATGGCCGGCTTGAAAAACAAAGATAAAACAAAGATCTTGACAAAGAATATGTTATTAAAACAAAGAGATGAACTGGCAGATTTATTGAAAATTCAAGTTACGAATAAGGTCAAATATCTGGGGATATATTTGACGTCAAGATGTACTACATTGAATAATGTCGCTTGTAGATTGGCATTAGTGACAGTCAGTTGTTTTTCTCCTGTCAAGTTCTTTTCTATAGTTTTCTGCATTGTTGGGGAGGCAGTTGCCAAAGTTGTCATCAAGGTCTGGGTGTTCTTCCTTCCCGTTTTCAGGGTCATGGTTGTTGTGGAAGTCATCTCTGATAAGATTTGTTTTTGCAATTGGACAATGTTAAGAATATTATCCCAAATCACCATTCGATGTAATAGCCCTTTAAGTGTGATTACAAGTCTATTTGCTAAGCTTACACACCAAGTTATTTTAGATCTCTTTCTTCAGCCCAATCTGTCATTTAGGTAAGTTAAATTCCAATTCAATAAAGTGTTATCAGATACTATACAATACTATACAATAGATACTATACAATAGAATGTTATCGAATATCATGTATTATGTATTATATATTATTCTCTATATTAAGTTCATATACCCGAGTTAATTGTATTTTACCCCTAATAAATCATTACCATATCAAATCAAACTTGTTTAAAGCTAACAACCAACTCTAGAATTTCTCACTCTATATATACCTTTATCCTATAATGTATATTAATATTTAAGGTTCCAATTAATCTGAGACAACCCTATTTAACAGATCTTAAAATTTTTGTATATCCAAGAGACTCCAATCAGTAAACCCAAATAACTATAACAAGCAGTTTGCCTTTATACTTGTATTTATAACTATTATAGAAAGAAAGGAAAGACCAAGAGAGAAAGGGAGAGAAAGAAAGAGTGCAGGAGGAAAAGGGTCTTTTCAATTTCGGGGAATCACTAGACACGTATCTGTGGGATTAGTTCCATAGAAAAACAAGTCTGAGTTGGGGCTGGCGTTTTAGTCTTATAGTCTTTCCTCCTGGGCGCACCAAAGGAGCAGGGGGAGGAAGTGCTGACTAATTGCTGTCAGCGATCAGCGATCAGTCTTTGCCAGGCTTCCATCTGTCTCTTCCTTCTTCCCTCTTCTTCTTCCCTTCTGCCAGCAATTGTCAGTCCACAGTCACTTTGGGCGTCCACCTCAGATCGATCACTTTAGAAATCAGTTTTGTAGGCAATGATGCTAAAAGGAAAGGACCTTGCATATAAAAGTCAGTGCGTCGCTATCTCGCTCTCTACCGCTCGCTCTGCCCTCCTTCACAGCTATAGTCCTCTCCTAGTCCTCTAGTCTTCTCAGGCACTGATCCCAGATGGGAATCCACTCCCGAGCTTCTTAAATTTCCCACCGCCTTCTTCTCTCCTCGACAATCTTCTTCCAAACGCTCCAATCCACACTTTCACTTTAAGTGTCGAGCCATTCTATCCGCATTTATCCCCCTTTCACTTTTCAAACTGCTTTTCTAGCTGCTTGTCTCCAGCTTCCCCCACTGTTACTCACAATGAAACAGGGAGAGTCAGACCGATCTCTCTCACGGCTTTTGTAGTCCTTCTGCCCTTTTCTGCTCAGATCCTTCAGGCTGTCACTTTTTGCTTCATCAGTTCAGTGACAGACCGGACTTTGGAGCCGCCATTAGCTGGCAGCTGGCTCAATCGCGCTGGTCTCAGAGGCTCTTCCTTCATTGCTGGGGAGTTGCCTTCCCCCAAACAGCAACCCGGGGGTCCTCTATTTTGACACGAAGCTCTACGGGTTTCGTGTATCCACTGGGGATCCCTCCAAATGCGAGAAGAGGTGTTCAAAAGCCACAACTGGGCTTCTCCACCTCTGGACGTCCCTGTCCTGCCCCACTGTGAATCTTTTGTCTTTTGTAGCTGTGTTGTTTTCTTAAAAAGTAAAATTAATAAAGTTTTTTCTAAAAAAAACAAAAACAAAAGGAGGTCCAGGAGCCAACCTTGTAACAAAGCCAGGTTTTAATACTCAATTTATTTTTCACATGCAACAGAGGAGGAGCTCATGCAAAACTTTATGATATTTCATTTCAGCATAGGACATCCAGGATGAGATCAAAGTTCAAAGACCTCACTGGAACATCCTAGATGGCTATCATAGCATTGTGGTTCTTTGCATTTTGTTTTACAGTTCTCCCAACATGTAAGAATGTTTAATAGAAAATTATTAGACCATTATTTGGTCAGTAATGTTGTTTACTGATTGAAATCTTTTCACTTTTTCAAGGGGTCTTTCCAGACATTCAGCTTATAGAATCTGGGCCAGGAATGGTGAGACCTGGAAGTCAACTCAACCTGGTTTGTAAAGTCACAGGTTTCTCTACTGCTACTTCTTCATCATACGCTTGGCATTGGGTCCGGCAACCACCCGGAAAACACCTTGAATGGCTTTCAGCCATAAATGTCAACAATGGAGGCAAATGGTATGCTACTTCTGTGAAAAGCCGTGTCACCATTTCTGCAGATCAATCCAGGAATGAGTTCTCTCTCCAAGTGAGTTCTATTGTAGCTGCAGACTCATCTGTGTATTTCTGTTTCTGAGAGCACACAGCGAGATACCATTTATTTGTGGCCTGTAAAAAATGAGAGAGGGGGGGGAGGGGGGGAGAGGGAGAAAGAGAGATAGAAACAGCTGACAGAACAACATAAAAGAAATCTCTTCGTGAAATGGGATTAGTTTATGAGAAAGCAACATTGCTGTCACTTCCCATTTAAATTTCGGGGGTAGGGAACCAAAAAAATCCACCTATTAATAACAGCAATCATTTAGTTTTACAAAAGCTTAAACCACAAGACCATGTCAGCCTTAGAGATAATTTTTAAAGCACATAAAGCAAAATATCAGTCTGCCTTCTTCCTCCTTTCTTGAGATCATATAACTACATTTCAGGCACTTGGAATCTAGGTTGTATTTATTGTATATATAACTAATTACTGTATATGGCAGTTACATGGCCACTTGAACTATTTATTCTGGTCTTTGACATTTTTTTCTCAGTTTCTAGCAAAAAAAGTGCCATTCAGAACAACAGATTTTCTTAACAAGCAAAAGATTCCCTTATCAAACACTGAAAATAATGGTTAAACATTTGTGTCCAACCATGTGGTTGTCTCTACTTATGGCAGCACTGACTTACAACCAAAATTCCAGTCCATTAGTCAAGGACTGCATGCATTCAGACACACTCTGTAATCATCTATTTCTAACTAAATTTCAGTACACTTCTGTACTTCATCTCATATTTATACAGGTCCTGGCAGGATTTATGCAAAGCCAACAGGACTTTCACTTGCTATTTAAACTCTCATTCACCTTCTTCAGTTCCAACTCAAGGTGCAAATCTCATTCCTTTTTCAAAATGACACCCTACTTTTTAATTCTCATCATGCTGGCTGCCTTCTCCAAAGGTTTGTAATTTGATCCATGTTTAGCTTTTTCTAGCACTCAGGGAAATTTCATATATTAACTATGGCTCTTACTTTCTAACCATCATCTAATTGTACTTTGTCTTTTCTCCTTACGTGGCTTTTCCCAGGTAGCTCTGACCCAATCAGACCCAGTCGTGAAGAAACCAGGAGAATCCCATAAACTGACTTGCACTGTCACTGGATTCAATGTTAACAGCTACAATATGGATTGGATCAGGCAGAAACCTGGCCAAGGACTGGAATGGCTTGTTCACTACTACACATCCAGTAGCAACTATTATTCACTAACAATCCAAGGATGGTTTACTGCCTCCAAGGACAGTTCCAACTTCTATTTGCAAATGAAAACCTAAAAGCTGAGGACACAGCTGTCTATTACTGTGCAAGAGACACAGTGAAATAAATCTTAAGGGATCTCATGCAAAAACCTTTCCTTTCACTACTGAAATGTCTCAAGATGAGACACCAGAGAAGCACAAAATGAGTTGTCTAGCATAAGGAACAGTATCACTGAGGCAGAGAAGGGATGTAATAAATAGGCAAAACAAATACACCCTCAAAGAGAGAATAAGGAGGGTCTTATAAGAAGTTTTCTCAGGTGACTGTTCTCTCCAGACTCAGGTTCTTCTGATGCTGTTCTGTAGTGGCTCTTCACAGGGGCTATTGTTTGAATTTTTTGAGAATTTAGAGGGATATGCAGTTTGATGATGATAAAACTTCTAATGTGTTAATTGCACTAGTTTATATTAGAAATTCTGTTTATAGCACCACAGAAAAAATAAAGTGTACAGTCACCATGTGCTTTACTGCTTAACTGTTTTAACTGTAATGGGAAAAAAGAAACTTTACTTAGAACAAAAGAACATAGGGTATATACAATAGATCTAAACTTGCAAACCCTGCCATCTACTGGCTGAATACTATTGTAATTGTTGCACAAAAATATATTTTAACAATGCATTCCACTTCAAACTCCTAGTTATTGCTTATAAAGAGATCAGACTCAGGTTTCTTGCCTTACCTAATTCTTTCTGATTGTCCCTTAATACCCACCAGAACTGGCAATGAAGGCCTGCTCCAGGATGGGATCCAGATTCTAAAATTTGTGTCACAACTCCAACTTAATGGTACAACACTCCCCAGCGGATATGAATGGCCCTAACTTCATTGGCACTTTAAGAAATAAACATGAAATCAGAGTGTCCCCACCCACTTTTGGTTCTAACAATTAAATGAGTCTGTTGCTTAATTACTTAATATCCACTTCAAGATTTAGATTTGGAGTAAAATGATTTTGGACCTCATGAATAGAAGTATTTGATTTTGAAAAGGCTGAGAAACTAACAACTCTTTTTAATTTTGGGTGAGGGAATTATCAGGATTCCTAGGGCCTAAGCCAGAATGGACACTTGTGAATTTAAATTAAATTTTCAGGTTATCTACAAGCATTGGAGAAGTTTTATCCATATGGGCTTAGATGAATTTTATTTCTTAGATTAAATTAGAAATTTCATGGCATTTTAATGAAAACAACAAAACATGAATTTAATATTAGGCATATGTAAGTCATTTGTTCAATATCGGTTCTCTCCAGTAGATTTATCTAAAAGTGCTAAATTACAAGAAAAGAAGTTAGTTGTGTTGACCTTAAGCTGAAAATGTTCACATAATTGTGCAACCCTCAAGAAAGGATCACATCCTTATAATATGGAGATGATGATGCAAATTAATTCAATGGCTTCATCTACTTAAAAGCAGTTCTTACAAACTCCATTTGCAGAGCCAATCATCAGTTAGCCTCAAGAAAAGGCAGCATCACTGGAGATATGCTTCTTTGGACTTTCCTCTTGTTCCTTATTTGTCTTTCAGGTAGATCTTCTCTCAAAAGCAAAAGTAGGAGGTCATAAATGTTCTTCAGTTTTCGTCCTGACTCCTAGGTGATGTTTGTTTTTCAGGATGCCATGCAGAGGTGAAGTTGGTGGAGACTGGAGGTGGTTTTGTAATACCAGGAGGTTCCCTCCACCTAACCTGTAAAGCATCTGGGTTCACCTTTACTGACCATGCAATGAGCTGGATCCGACAATCTCCAGGAAAAGAACTGGAGTTTGTGGCAAGTGTTAGCCAACCACAAGGAACTAAACAGTGGTATAACTCCAAAGTGGAGGGAAGATTCACTGTCTCCAGGGACAATTCCCAGACATCAGCTTATCTCCAGATGAACAATTTGAAAGTTGAAGACTCTGCCTTGTATTATTATGCAAGGGAACACAGTGATTCCATCTGCTTTCCTCTTTGTATAATTACTCCAGGGATCTCTTGAAGAGCAAAAAGCATAGTCATTCAGCCTCTCTCCCTGGAGGGCACTTAAACTTTTCTTGAGAAGTTTGCCTCTTATGATTCCAAATTTGCATGCACCATTTGAACCTCATTTTTGCAGTCTCCTGGCAGTGGGTGTGAAACTGGATTTCCATACTTACATTGTAAATGGAAATACAATAAAGATGCTCACAAAGAATTCTAGATTAAAATCCAATTAAATGAATCAAAAAGGGTTGTATAAACAAAAAGAGCACTAAGCTATACAATACTGAATTGGGTAAAATGGAATCAAATGAAGATGGGAAGTTGCTTCTTTAAGAACCTTTTTTGTTTTCTTTTCTTATAGTTTTCAATACTTTTTTTCTTAATTGCTCTTTCTTTCTTGTCTTTTTTACTATATTGTATTTCTAAACAAAGAAATAAACTAAGGCCATGTCACCATGTCTGAAGATCAGTCCAGGAGTGAATTCTCCCTTCAGCTGAATTCGGTCATAGCTACAGACACATTTATATTTTTCAGTGCCTGACAATAGAAATTGAGACAAAATCTATTTGGATTCTGTACAAAAATAGAGGAAATTGTTTTCACAAAGTGTAATCCCAATCAGATGGAGAGAGGAGAGGAGGGAGGAAGAGGGGCAGAGACAGAGAAAGTGAGAGACAGAGAGAGAGAGAATGACACAGAGAGACAGAGACAGACAGAAAGAGAAAGAGACAGAGAGAGATGAGTGTGAGGGAGGAAGAGAAAAAGATCACTCACAGAACAATTTAAAGGTAACTTAATTTAAAATGGAGTCAGTTTTATTAAATCAATTTTGACTGAACTTTAATGAGGACAAAACAATATAAAGTTAGAGATATATTAGTTTATTTTCAAGTATAAGTGGTTAAAAGATGCTTCAATTATTACAGAGTTTCTGTTCTCCATTACCATCATTTTTTATTGTTTTGCAATTAAGGAAAATAGGATGTTTTCTTGGAAAACTCCCACCTGTTCTGTCCTTCCTCTTTCTTCTGAAAAAGCAGAGAGGACACTGAATGGACATCATTGGGAATTGGACAAAGCCTCTAGGATCCTCATTCTAGAAGAGTTAGGAAGACTTTGCACCTACATTGGTCCATGATATTTCCTGCAACCTTATTCAACTTTATCCCAACCAAGATATTTAATAAAATAATGAGGAGGGAGGGCTATTATTGGCTATTTCAAAGCTATGTATCTTTAAAAATCGTACATGTGTTATTTTTCCACACAACAATAAGTAAGCTTAAAAATCACCCCATTTCCCCCTCCCTTTCAAAAAGTATCTAGGAATTCTACTGACTGAGCTACTTTCACTTCCCAACTTTTGCAAAAATAATTGAATCGATGTATCTATGGAGTCAACAGAAATTGAGTTTACCTTCTGATATAACAGAGGTAAATATGTTTAACATCATGGAAACTAGAAGGAGATAATTGGAAAAGCTTCAAGTCTGGATCTTCTTTCAAGATTAATTGCGATTTTGTCATTATTTTAAAAGATGGTAAGTAGTTCCAGAAATACATAGATAAATAGATACAACCCCAGTCTGAACATTCTTGTGACAAATGCTATTACAGTCTAGTGGGTGCTCTTAGATAGCAATGACTTATAAATTATAGTCCCAGTTGTGGTCCTAAGTCAAGGAATATCTGCATCCAAATACACTCACATTAGAATACTAGAATTCTTTATTGACCAAGTGTGACTGGACACACAAGGAATTGGTCTTGGTGCATATGTTCTCAGTGTGCATAAAAGAAAAGATACATTTGTCAAGAATCAAGAATCATAAGGTACAACACTTAATAATAGTCATAGGGTACAATAGGCAGTCAAATCATACTAGGAATCAATCAGTATAAATCGTAAGGATACAAGTGACAAAGTTACAGTCATACAGTCACAAGTGGGAGGGGATGGGTGATAAGAAGTGATGAGAAGATTAATAATACTAGTAGTGCAGACTTTGTAATAGTTGAACAGTGTTGAGGGAATTATTTGTTTAGCAGAGTGATTGTTTTCGGGGGGGAATGTTCTTGTGTCTAGTTGTTCTGGTGTGCAGTGCTCTGTAGCATCGTTTTGAGGGAAGGAGTTGAAACAGTTTATGTCTGGGATGTGAGGGGTCTGTAAATATTTTCACAACCCTCTTTTTGACTTGTGCAGTATGCAGGTTCATGATTGAAGGCAGGTTGGTGGTAATTGTTTTTGTCTGCAGTCCTAATTATCCTCTGAAATCTGTGTCTGTCCTATCGGGCTGCAGAATCAAACCAGACAGTTATAGAGGTGCAGATGATAGACTCAGTAATTCTTCTGTAGAACTGTATCAGCATCTCCTTGGGCAGTTTGAGCTTTCTGAGTTGGCGCAGAAAGAACATTCTTTGTTAAAAAAACAAAAGTCTACTTGATTTAAATATGCTCCTAGACTTCATCATGTGTAGAGGTCCCAGCAAGATTTATGCAAAACCAAGTGATTTTCATTTTCTATTTAAACCCTCATTCATCTCAAGGTGCAAAACTCATCCCTCCAACCTTCCTCACAAAGACACTCCCCTTCTTAATTCTCTTCATACTGGTTGTCCTCTCCAAAGGTTTGAAGTTTCATCCATGTTAATTTTTTTCTGGCACTCAAGGGAATTTTATATCTTTCTAATCATTATCCAATTCTAATCCATTATCCAATGATGCTTGTTTATTTCTTTTTATTAGGTGGCTTCTCCCAGGTAGTTCTGACCCAGTCAGATCCAATGCTGAAGAAACCAGGAGAATCCCATAAACTGACTTGCTCTGTCTCTGGATTTGACCTTAACAGCTACTGTATGAATTGGGTCCATCAGAAAGCTGGCCAAAGACTAGAATAGCTTGTTTGCTATTACTCATCTAATAATGGGTATTATTTACCAACAATCCAAGATGTTTTATTGCCTCCAAGGACAGTTCCAATTCCTATCTCCAAATAAACAACCTAAAAGCTGAGGACACAGCAGTCTACTACTGTGCAAGACACACAGTGAGATATATCTTAAGGGATCTCATGCAAAAACCTTCCCTTTAACTACTGAAATATCTCAAGTGGGGACACCAGAGAAGCACAAAATACGTTGTTAAACATCTGGAACAAAATTACCCAGGCAGAGAAGGGATGGAAATGAAAATGAGTATACTCTCGAAGATGATATTACTCCACACTTAGTGGAATAATATCATTATCTTTTACTTATTGATTTCCAACTAGTTTGCTGTGGTTCCTGCAGGTTCATTTCAGATGTTTTCTTGCAATTTCTTCCACAAGAAACCGTATTTTTATTCAATGTTTTGTTAAATATATCATGAAATGGAATTTCCTCTCCTGCGGTTTTCCCCAAATACATTTTCATTTTGAGAAGATCTGCTAATTTCAATAAAGTATCACCTATAGGCTGTAGTATTAACATAGGATGTTGCTTGTTTTCTATACAGATCAGGCACTTACTTCAGGCCACATAATTGTAATCCAATCCAATTCAGTCCTCCTGCAGCAGTCTGCTGGCTGAAAGAATGCTGCAAGAGGCCATGGAGGCTGAAAATGGGCCACAAGGGGGCACACTTGCCTCCCCAATTGCCCTTTTTGGTTGGCAGAGGCACCACAGGCCAGTCCTTTGATATTTCCAGGCTGGCCCTATGGGCCAGATTTAAACATCCCCATGAACTGGATCTGCTCCACAGGCCTTCTAACTCTCTTTTAGGAATCTAAAAACCAGAACCAAAACAAAATCCTCAGCTAAAGTAACAGAATCTTGCAGGTCAAATTCAACTGTACTTCCCATCTTTATATACCCTAAAGCAGGGGTGTCAAACTCAAGGCCCATGGAGCAGGTCCAATTCATGGGTGTGCTGGGCTGGTTGGCTGTGCTGCTGCCTCTTGATTGGTTGATGGAGTTGATGTTGGTATAATGGGCTGTGTGATGGCCTTGTGAGTTTTGTTGTGGAGATATCCTGGATCTTGTGCTGCAATCTCCTGGGTCATTTGTTTTGTAGTGATCTTTTTTCCATTAGCCTCTCGTGTTTTAACAGCTTGGGTAAGGGGTTGTGTAATGGTATTGCGAGTTCTTTTGTTGTGATATCCTGGGTCCTGCATTGTAATCTCCTGGGTCGTTTGTGTTTTGATCTCTTTTCCATTAGCCTCCTGTGTTGTAACGGCTTGGGTAATGGGTTGTGTGAGGACCTTGTGAGTTTTATTGCTGTGGTATCCTTGGTCTTGTGCTATGATTTCCTGGGTCATTTGCTGTGTTGCAACTTCTTGAGTTCTTGTGGTATAATTTCCTGAGTTTTCTGATGTGATATCCTGAGCTGTGATGTAGCATTCTGGGTTTTAGTTTGGCTTCGAGTTTGGGGTCTGGGTCTGTGTTTTTGGTGTGTATCAGTTTGTTTAGTTTTGGGGTCAGGGTGTGTGACAGCTGGTGAAGCAGCCCTGGTCTGGTTTCTGGACGGTGGTTATCCTTTATTTATAGGATGGGTTTGGGCCTGGGTCTGATGAGGGGGATTGGCAGTGGTGTTCAGTGTTGTTTTGGGTCTGCTGTTTGTTTTCGTGGCTGGGACTTGTTTGTTGGTGAAGGCTAGCTTCCAGATGTCTGGTAGGCGGGAGGTATCATCCCGTTTATTCATGTAATGGGGGTGTTTCTCTATTTTAATGGCTTCCCTTATTCTCTTGCTGGAGTGTTCAGTGTTGGATATCAATTTGGTTCCTTTGAAATTAATTTCATGTTCTGTGGCTTTAAGGTGCTGGAAGAGGGAGGAAGTATTTTCTTCTTTTCTGACTGCATTTTTTATGTTCTGTGATGTGTGCATTTATTCTCCTGTTGGTTTGTCCAATGTATGTGGCTGGGCAATTGTTGCATGGTATTTCATAAACTCCTTGGTTTTCTAGCTGGATTTTGTCTTTGGGGTTTCTTAGGTTGTTGGTTATTTTTTGGTCAGTGCCAAAGGCTGTCCTGATATTGTGTTTGTGGAGAATTTTGCTGATTTTGCCTATGCTGCCTTTGATGTAGGGGAGGAATGTGATACCGTTGTGTTGTTCTGTGTCTTGGTTTTTGGAGGGTATCTCTCTTCAGATTAGGTTGGTAATTGTGTTTCTTTGGAATCCATTGGAAATTAATACGTTAGTGAGGGTGTGTAGTTCTGTTCTCAGGTGGTTTTTGTCAGCTAGGCTTTTGGTTCTGGAGATGAGGGTCTTGGCTACGGAGTTGATCTGTGCAGGGTGGTGATGGGATTGTGCATTTAGGTAGCAGTTGGTGTGGTTTTTTTCTGGTAGATGGTGTATCCTCGGGAGCCATTGTTTTTTTTTTTTTTTTTTGTAAATTAGGACGTCCAGGAAGGGAAGTTGGTTGTTGGTTTCTGTTTCCATGGTGAATTGTATTTTGGGGTGTAGGTTGTTAAGATGTGTTAGAAAGTTGTCCAGTTTTTCTTTCCTGTGTGGCCAAATTATGAAAGTGTTATCTACATATCTGAGCCAGAGTTTGGGTTTGTGTTCGGATTTGTCTAGAGCATTGGTATCAAAGTGTTCCATATATAGGTTAGCGATGGCGGGTGAGAGGGGTGATCCCATGGGTGTTCCTTCTATTTGTTTGTATCGAATTCACCAATTCTCCAAGGACAGTTTACTGCCTCCAAGGATAGCTCTAACTTGTATCTGCAAATGAACAACTAAAAAGAGAAGACACGGCTGTCTATTACTGTGCAAGAAACACAGTGAAATAGATCTTAAAAGATCTCATGCAAAAACATTTTCTTTTACTACTGAAATGACTCAAGAGGGGACACGCAAGAACCACAAAATGAGTTGTCTAAGCATCTGGAACAGAATCACTCAAGCAGAGTAGGCATGAAATGAAAAGGCAAAACAAATATATCCCAAAATATGTTATTACTCTATACTTAGTATGGTTGAACTTATTGATTTCTATCTAGTTTGTGTGGTTTCCTGCAGGTTCCTCTTCTTCCAGGGACAGAGGGTATCTCAAAATATATTCCTTTCCCTCTTCCAGGATTTGTTTCAGAAAAAATCCTGGCATTTCTTCCACAGGAAGCCATATTTTTCAAACTAATGTTTTAATTCATATCCATTTTCCTCTCCCGATGTTTCCCCAAGTTAAGGTATATTTTGTGAATATATATTGGACATAACCAATATAAACTAAAGGCTGACAGCTTATATTATAATTATAATATTATAATTATTATAGTTCTCTTTCCTCAATGTTTAAAAAAACTGAAATAACAGAATCCCCAGAGCCTGATCCTTCTTTACTTCTCACCCTACTTATACCCCAGTGAATAAGGAGGAGGGGCACTTTTCTGAATTGTTTCTGAATATTTGATGATAGATTCTGATCCTCGAAATATGTTTCAGTTCCTTTTCCATGGTAACAGGTTTTGTGTAATTCTGTCAAAGTCACCTCTGCATTCACATTTACACTGCTACTTCTTTGCTAATGGTACTGAATTGGTACAAGTGACTCTGTAGTGGGATCTTACCTTAGTCGCTACCAGTTCAGTAAGTGATCATGTGTCTGTGCATGCCCCTAATGTGCACACACCTAACAAGCCAATCAGCTGAGAGGATGAAGAAACAAAAACCTAGGCGTGACCCTCCCCCCTCCCATTTCAGTCTTTTATCCTCTCAGCTGATTGTCAAAAGCTTGTTTTCCTCCTCTCAGCTGATTGGAGGCTTTTTTTAAAGTTCCGTGGAAATGGTAGTGATTTTTACTATCAGTTCAACTGAAATGGGCCGAACCGGTAGCATACCACCACTGAAGTAACTCCATCAATTGCCAGTTGTTGTCAGGCATGCAAGCTAGGCCAGATTAGGAAACAAAAGCCATGTAGAGCAAATATTATTGATGAATGTATTTTTTCTTATGTATACTGAAAGCATATGCACCAAGGACAAATTCCTTGTGTGTCTAATTACACTTGGCCAATAAAGAATCCTATTCTATTCTATTCTATTCTATTCTATTCTATTCTATTCTATTCTATTCTATTCTATTCTATTCTATTCTATTCTATTCTATTCCATTCCAGTCTATTCTATTCAGGGGTGGGATCCGACAGGGTTAACTACTGGTTCAGTGATTTACGAGGTTCGGTGATTTATGATGTGCTTCTCTCCACTCTGTGCGCATCCCTGTAAATCGTCATCAGCCTGGTGCCTGGACAGCTGAGCAGTGCTGTGTGCCGAGAAGCAGCCTTTGAAAAAGTGCTTTTTTTTTTCCTGCTTTTTAAACTGCAGTTGTGCCTCACTCGGCAGATGAAGTTGAAAAAGCAGGAAATAAAGGTCAGGTAAGAGCCCAGGTGGGCGGGTGGGCAAAAACATCAGCAGACATAGAACTGGTTCTATGTCTGCTGCTCTTCAGAGCTACCGGTTCGATAGAACCGGTAGAAACCCATCCCTGATTCTGTTCTATTCTATTCTCTTCTATTCTCTTCTGTTCTATTCTATTCTATTCTATTCTATTCTATTCTATTCTATTCTATTCTATATTGGTTTTATTAGAAAGATATAGGAACAGCACCTTACAAGTCTTAATGCATTTTCCCCCACTGTCCTTTTATCTTTGAGAGAATGAGGGAGGTTTTTGTGTGAGATATTTTCTCAAGTGACACTTCAGAACCAGATTCATGTTTCTTTTATCTGACTGTTATCCTGATACTGGCTCTTCTTCCTGTCCCTCCAGACCATTTCTTTAAACCCTCTGCAATTGGATTACTATA